ATATTACTAATCCATACATTTTTGTCTTTACATAGTGTTCCTCTCCAGGTGCAAAGACCTGAACTTTTGTATCACATATGAAACTTTGACCTCCACCAGGTCATGACACAGTAGTTAAAGCTGCTAACTGAGAAGTTGGTGGTTTGAACCCACCAGCCACTCTGCAGAAGAAAGATGTAGCAGGCTGCTTCTGTAATGATTTATAGCCTTGAACACTCTAGGAGGGCAATTCTACCCTGTTCTATACGGTTGCTATGGGTCACAGAGGACTTGACAGCAGTGGATTTGGTTTTTGGGTTAGATGATGACAGTCTGTTACACTTTCTAGGCATAGTACAGTCACATGACCCTTTCTGTTTACAGTCATTACACCTGAAGTTCCAGCCACAGACCTGGGTGTGCCACCAAAATTCAGATTCATCCTCACTGTATTTGTGTAGGACCACTGCAGGGCACAAATCACAACTGCCATTCTACAGGTAGGAAACTCAGACAGGTGATTTACCCAAGGGGACTCAATAAGTTAGGACAGTGTTTAATCCAAAAACCCAGAATTGTCTCCTTCTCAAAAAAAAAAAAAAAAGCAGTGTTGGGAAATAGTTTTAGAGAAGAACTTTCTATCGCAATTTTTTTAAAGTCCTTTAGCAAATCAGGAACCACAAGCTACAAACTAGAATCACAATAACCCTTTAGTTAAAAGCCTTTGACTCACAGCTTATAAACCATCTTGGTTACCAACAAGAATGTTTTACAAATGAAATTCCAGCCATTCAAGAGCTAAATTTTGGTACAGCTCTGTACCTGGTTTGATAACATCGTTAAGTACAACACCTAAGTACTACCTCATTCTACCTAATACTCCTCCTGTATATTTGTTGGCATGTGATGTGGTGGGGGTGAGGGTGAGGGAATATGTTTGTCTTTGTGTGTGATTGTCGAAGAAAACCAGTCATTTTAGGACCAATACTGCCCAACACTTGAAATATGCCTAATGTAGTAGTTCTGTACCCTGATTTTTTTTTCCTTGTAACTTTTAATTTTCTGATTCTGTTTCAGTATAAGAAGTGATGCTTCAACCTTCCTTGATGAAGGCAGATAGTGGATACAGCTGTGGTTTGTGTCAGCTTCATTGAAAGTAAATATCCAAAAGACTAAAGTTGTTTGATGACAACTGAACATGACCTTTTGAATAAGGAAGTGACCTGATCTTGCCTAAAGGCTACTGACCTTCTGTTCATGATGTGCATTGCCCCTTCCAACACCAGGAACTCACACTCCCACAAACAGACAAATTAGGCTCACAGTAACCATCCTTCCTCCCAAGTCCAGGTCAAGAAAGGCACAAGGAAGACTAACAAAAAATACTGAGGTGGTACTTTGGATCTGGGAGACCTTGAGGTACTAGGAGAGGCGTACTGATGGCCCCATCTGGCAGATGGGAAAGGTGAGGCACCAAAGACTAATTAAATACTTCAAGTCATGAGTGGGAGGGACGCATGGATGAGAGGGTATTTAAGGAGATACTTATTTTACCGTTTTTCCCCCTGTGGGGAGAGGGGAGGAGGGGAGTCAGAGGAGGTACACAAGACAACACAGCACAACTCTCAACAGCAAAGAAGCAATTCCAGCTCCTCCAACAGCCAAGGGCACCCTTACTGGCCTCCAAGCAGTTGGGATGATTCCTTCACAAAGGGAATCTTTGGGACCCACCCCTTGGAGATTGCATCCAGAACTGGAGGTTTAGGCAGAAATGGCCTGGACAGGCACATAAGGTAGCTCTGCTTCTTAAGGCATGGCTGCTGTCTGCCTAGGAGGAATGCAGCCCTTGGTGAAACCACCCTGCCTGGAAGCTTAACTGGGTGGATCACTGCTGCCTAAGGAACCCTGCCTCCCCCAGGGGCTGGGGGCTTCCATTAAAGCTAAACAGCATCATCAAACCAATGGTTTTCTTGTGCTACTTGGGAGAATGAAGAGAAAGGAAAAAGGGGAAATTGATTACTATTTGCAGATGATTGTCTAACTAGAAAACCTTGGGGAACCCACTGAAAAATTATCAGAATAAGAATTTACTCAGGTGGCCAATTCAAAGTCAAGCACAATAATTTTGGGGTCACTTAGGTGTGGCCTGACATCTTTAAAGATCTGTGCTTTTCTGGAAGGTTTCCGAGCTGTGTGTGCAACCTGCTGTTTTCAAAGATGGAGGTGGGTCGGGAACCACCTCCACCGCTGCTAGAGGGTAGCAGAAGGGGTGAGGGCAATAATCTTTGTGTAGGCTCCTTGTAGCCCTTCCCCCTCTCCCCCCCCCCTCACTCTCCAGTTTCTAGTTGTAGCAACGACAGATACAATTGTAGAAACAAAGATTGTGCTACGTCACCCCCAAATCAAGTAAGAGTTTTAAAAACAAAGGGGGCAGACCCAGAGGCCCCACGTGTCGGTCCTCTAATCGCCTCACTGGTTAGAAGCCTAGAGAGGCCATGTGCTCTATATCCACGGTTCGGTCCGCAGCGACTAGAGAGGTTTAGAGCTCTGAGTGTCAATCGGCCCCGCCTAGGTTGGCCGTCATTTACGGTCCAGGCTGGCGTGCAGCTGGGCCTCCCGGGCCATCCGGTCGAAGGAGCGCGTGTTGGTCTCTTCACGCACCTTCTCGCGAACGTGGAAGGAGGCCCGAGCGGTGGAACGGGCGCTCTCCAGCGCGCTGCGACGTTCCCGAGAGAGCTGCTCGCTGCGCTCCAGTTTCCGTCCGATGGCTTGGAGCAGCTCCCGACGGCGGCAGTCTTCGTCCCTCTCCACCTTCTCCTTGTTGGCGCGCTGGGTTCGCTCCTTCTCCAGCCGGCTCTGGCCCACGCGCCGCGCCTTCTCTTGCACCGCTTCCTCGACTGCCTGTGCGGCGTGCTGCAGCCGTCGCTCCCCGACCCGGGCCAGCGCCTCCAGGTGGGCTTGGTGCTCCTTATCTTTGCGCTCGGCCGCTTCCTTAGCCCTCCGACTCTGCAGCTCCTCCCGCCGGGCCCGCTCCCGCAGCTCCCGGCTGCGCTGTTCCACCAACTGCTCGTAGTTTTCCTGAGCGCGGCCCAAACTGGCCGCCAGGGAGTTCCGCAGGCCCTCTCGTTCCTTCTTCTCTTGTCGGACCCGGCCCTGCATCAGTGCCTCGTGGCGTGCCCGTTCGGCCCGGCTCAGCTCTCGTTTCTCCCGCTGCAGCTGGCCCTCCTGCCGCTGCTTGGCACAGGCCGCCCTCTGGGTGCGCTCCTTATGGATCTTCTCCGTGCGCGCGCGCCCCTCTTGCAGGCCCTCTTCCCGCAGCTTCAGGTTATACTCCTGCTGCAATTTGCGTAGCCGGTCCTCCTGGGCCGCGCGGCCCGCCCGCTCCCGCCTCAGTAAACCCTGGCGCTCCGCCAGCTCCTGGCGCCGCTCTTCGCTGCGCTCGAATTGCTGCTGCCGCCGCCGCGCGACCTCGCGTTCCTCACGGCCCTGGCGGCCGCGCCGCTCCTCCACCTGCGCTGCCCAGGCCCGGCGGCCCAGCTCTAAAGCGCGCTGCTTCTCGCGTTCCTCGCTCTCACGCCGCTGTTCGGCACGCACGCGCTGCTGCTCCCACTGGCCGTGGGCCGCGGCCCTTTGCTCCAACAGCAAGCGTTCCTCCTGATAGCGCGCCAGCATCAGCGCAGCGATTTTCCGGTCACGCTCGGGTACCCCGCGCAGGCCCCGCTCAGCTCGCACTTGACGCACGATGCGCTCCACGTGCTGAGCTGTCTGTGGCGAGTGGCTCAAGTCACCGAGGCTGAAGCTGCGGCCAGTGATTGGAACTAAGGCCAGGGCCGAGGGACGGCCCAGAGGGTTGGGGGCAGAGGACGCCGACCCGGCTGGGTAGCTGTGCCTGGCTGAGGCCCGCGGCTGCCACCGCAGCTCTCGCAGGCTCTCGCCGCTGTAAGACGAAGACGACGCGCCGGATTCGGAGCTGAGGGCGCCCTCGCGTCGGCGAGACAACGAATCCAGCGAGTGGCTCTTCCTACCTGCCCGAGATGCTTCAGGCGGAGGTTGAGTCCGGGCCGGGGAGAGACTAGGGGAGGCTTTTCGGGGCGCGCGGGGAGCAGGCGAAGCTGGGAGGCTGGCGCTGCTGCAGCTGCTGCTGCTGCCCGCGCTCGGGGCCACGGCGGCGGCGCCCAGAGGCGTGAAGAGACGTCGCTTCTCCTCGCGCACGATGCGCTCCCGCTCTGCCCGGCACTGCTGTAGCTTCGTGCGCCGCTCCGCCTCATACGCCTCGTACAGGCCTGTGGCCACTCGCATAGAGCGGCCCGGGGCCTCACGCACCAGATCGGCCAGTGACCGTGGAAGCAGCTCCACCGGCTTGACGGCGCACCGGGCACAGGCCTCCAGCGAGCGGGGACTGGTCAGCACATAGCGGCTGCCCTCGGCCTCCGGGCAGTCGAAGTTGAAGAGGTCAAGATGCAGCAACGGGGACTGTTCCCGCCGCCCGCCTTCAGCCACACACGGGACTTCCGCCTTGCCAGGCACCGCCGCCGAGGCCGAGGCCGAGGTCGAGGTGGCCGCGGGCTGCTGGGTTTCCCGGGCATCAGGGGGTCCTGACGGCGCGGCTCCGACCCTTCCTGAGCCGCCGGACTCAGCTCCAGCCTTCTCTTCAGGAACGGGATCCACCATGGCTAAATCCTTTTGTGGAGTCTGCTGATGACAAGGAAGGGACATCTAGAAATACCTTTGAGAGCAGCTCTTCCCTCCCCATCGTTACCCCAACCCCCAACCTAATCCGCTTTCGGATTAAGGCTGAGGCCTGGCTAAATCATGATAGCCAATGCCCTGAAAACCCCGGCGGGCGGTGCGGGTGGGGTCGAAGCAGCACACATCACCCCCAATCTCCCTCAACCTTGTAATTCGAGGCTCCCCTGAGCGTTTGGCCCACTAGATGCATTCCCTTACTATATAGCAAATTAAAACGGAAAGATAGGGGTGCTGGCAGCAGTTGACCAGCGAAGCGCTGGAGGATTATCGTATTTGTTTGTAGTTTAAACGCGCGGCCAGGAATGGAGCTTTGCAGGAACAAAAAGGGAAGAAGGGCTATGCATCCCCAAAGTGAATTGCTGCCAGGGCTCTTATTTGCTTAGGAAAGGAAGTTTATGGGCGGTGTTCCACTGCCAAAGGAGAACCAAGCGCGGGGCTCAGGGATGATGGAAAGCGACGTGATAGAAGGATTGACAGAAACGCCTCAATTCCAAAGGCCCCTCCGGGAGGGGAGATCAATTGATGCTCCCGCCTCTGGGTCACGGCTTTCTAGGAGCTGGGGCCGCCCCTCCCCCGCTCGCTTTGTGTTTACGGGGGGATGGGGAAGACGGCTGAGACTTCTCAGATGCATTCGATCCCCTCCATGTCTGAATGTACTAAAGACATCTTCCACCTCTGTGTGAGCTGGAACACCTGCCCCTAGACACCTTGCACATCCCTCCACTGCATCTCAGCGCCGTATTCTCAGGTTGCACAGCGAGCTCGGCAGTGATAGTGTCCGCTGGTCCCGGGTCCTCCGACCGGTTCACTTACCGCTCGTCCTGGACTCTAGCCCACGCGGATGGCTTTTGTTCGTTGCTCGCTGCTTTTCCCTGGCCTCTTCAGCCACGGCGCTGGCAGAGTCGGGTTACTGCCGGTTGCAGCCGCGATTGGAGTCCCAGCTGCCGCCGCCGCAGACGCCACCAATGCTTCCCCATGGGGCCCGAGAGCGGGATGCACACACCCCAGACACTACCTACACGCAGGAAGGGAAGTGCGATAAGACTTCCCTAAAATAACGCGGTTCTGCTCCCTTCTCTCGCTCGGATTCTTAAAAAAGCAAGCCGCGGTCCTTCGCTGCTGCATCCATCTCCGCCTCTCAAACCGTGAAGGTGCAGCAGATCTTCCGCCGCCCCCAGCGCCTCCTGGTGGATACAAGGGTGTTCACTTGTTTGCTTAGAGGGCGAAGAAGAGAGAAATTAAATCTATCACCAGGAAACTGAATTCTTTTCGTGCCATTTTTATTGGGTGGAATGAAGGAATCGCTCAGCTTGTTTCTCCAGGAGACTCTGAGAAGCAACCAAACTTGATAACAAATAATTGGGTAGAAATACGGCACCTGATCCAAATAGAGATTTATTTATTTATTTTAAAGAAAAGCTAAGATGGGTTTGGGGCAGGCAGACATGTAATGAGTGTTTACTGCAACATTTTATGACTTCCTAATTTACTGGTTCCAGAAATAAAGTGAAGCTAGTCCGTGCCACTGAATGATTGTTATTTTGATGCACCTTCTCCCCACCTCTTCTGCATTTTCAGTGGTAGCGGCCCTAGGAGACAGACTGGAGGAGCATTTGGTGGGGAGGAAGCTCGGGACAGATGGGACCTAACATTATAGCATAATATGATCTATGTTGTTAAATAACAACCATTGTTAGGTAGGTTGTGAGGAGCAAGTGAAGGGTTTTAAGCTGAGGAGTGACATGATTCTGTTTATGTTTTAGGAACAAAACTCCAACAATAAGGCGTGGGGACGGGCAATTTATGAGTACCAAGATAGGCAGGAGGCCCAGTTAACTGGACATTGCAGTCACCAAAGTCAGGAAGAATTAGGACCTGAGGAGAAACAACAGTAAGAGGAACAGGCCTGGTAAAACCAGTTGCTTTGGAGTCGACACTAACTCATGGCGACTCCATGTATGTCAGAGTAGAGCTGTGCTCCATAGGGTTTTCAGTGGCTGACTTTTTGGAAGCCTTTCATCTGAGGCACCTCTGGGAGAACTTGAACCTGTAACCACTTTGTTGGTAGTTGTTAGCTATTTGCACCACCCAGGAGCACCTGGTAGGTGATGGTTGTTGTTGTTAGGTGCCATCGAGTCGGTACTGAGCCATAGCAACCTTATTCACAGCAGAAAGAAACACTGTCCGATCCTGGGCCAACCTCACTACTGTTGCTACACTTGAGTCCATTGATGCTGCCACTTTGTCAGTCCATCTTGCTGGGGGTCTTCCTCTTTTTCTCTGACGCTTCTTCACCTTAACAAACATGGTATTCCTCTCCAACCACTGGTCCCTCCTGACAATATGTCCAAAGTATGAGAGACAAAGTTTGGCCATCTTGGCGTCCAAGGAGCACTCTGGCTGCACTTCTTCCAAAACAGATCTATTGGTTCTTTTGGCAGTCCATGGCACTTTCAATGT